GTCGACGGGGTGGAATGGGTGGTGGCATATGGTAGCCACGTTTTGTCCCCCACTGAGCAGCGGTACTGTGTGACCAGGAGAGAGCTGCTGGCCATTGTCTTTTTCGTCCAAATATACAGGCCATATCTGTACGGTCGCCGGTTTACCGTCCGGACCGACCATGCAGCCCTGCAATATTCCCTCCGAATTGACCAGCCCTCGGGTCAGCTGTCCCGCTGGCTCGAGGTGCTCCAGGAGTACCCCTTCGATGTCATCCATAGGAAGGGGACTCTGCATGGCAATGCAGATGGCCTTTCCAGGCGGCCCCCGGAGGGCGAGTGCGCCTGCACCCTGGGTTCCAGCCGTTGTAAGGCCCCAGCGGATACCGCGGTCCAGTTGTTCGCATCGGCCGAAACAGCGCCCGCGCCACAGGTTGGCGTTGCCTGTGGATTTTGGCCTGGGGCTCCCCCGGGAGGTATGGTCCCAGATGCAGATGGAGGATTCCTCTCTGCTGAGGCTGCGACGCCGTGTTGGGACTAAGGCCCGGAGCTCGGCTCTGTCGGCTGCCCCGGATATCGCCATTCATGACAGCCTCCTCATGCGTTGGGATGCTCAATTGGAACGGTATTGCGTGGTGGTGCCCATTGGCTTGCGAGGTAAGTTGACCCGGGCCATTCACGAGAAACGTATGCACCTCGGCTACCACAAGACCCTGTTGACCCTTAAGCGGGACTACTATTGGCCGGGTGTGGAGGATGATGTGGCGCTTATTTTGAAGGGTTGCCATGACTGTGCGTGGAGGAAGGCCCCAGTTGGTCAGGATCGGGCCCCACTGCAGTCCATCCGGGTTTCTCGCGCGAATGAGCTCGTGGCGCTCGATATCTTAGGGCCCTTCCCTGCATCCCAACGGAAACACAAATACCTCTTGGTGGGGGTGGAATACCTCACACGTTGGCCCATGGCGTGGACCAATCAGCCTCGTCCATCACGGAGGCATTTGTACAAGGGTATATTCTCGATAAGGGGGTGCCAGAACGACTCTTAACTGATCAAGGGTGGAATTTTTCTTCACGATTACTCAAGAAGGTCTGTGACCTCCTTGGGACGAAAAAGGTCCGCACCTCGCCCTACCATCCCCAGTCCGACGGGATGGTAGAACGTTTGAACCGCACGCTCACGTCTATGTTGTGCCATCACGTGAGCACGTCCCAATCGGACTGGGACCTGTTCATCCCGGGGGTACTGGCCGCATACAGGATGGCCCCACATGCCTCGACGGGGTTCTCCCCATTTTACCTTATGAATGGGTGAGAACCCGAGCCCCTGGTGTTGGTCCAACTGGACCCCGGGGCAGGCAAGAGGGGTTCCTCCATTCCCCTTCCGATGAAGGATAAGCTTGATCGCCTGTGCGAAGCACGTCAGGCGGCCTTGGAGAACTCGGCCAGCCGACAGGCGGCCGCGGAGCGCTTGCCTAAACATCAGGCGAGGGGTCGGTCATGGGAGGCGGGGCAGTTGGCGTGGCTGCACTGTCCTCAGGTGCCAGTGGGCACCTCCCCTAAATTACATCGGCCGTGGCAGGGCCCCGTTGAGGTGGTTGGTGTCCGCCGGCCTCAGTGTGTCCGGATCCGGCTGGGCCGGCACCACTGCACCGTGCACCCGTCGCGGCTCAAGCGGGTCGTTCCACCCGCCTTCCTTGATTCATCCCCAATTCCGGGACGGCCGGCGGTGGACGCGTCCGATGGGCCGGGTCCTGGGGGTCGGGGGGATGTCACCATTGCCTTGCCCTCCTGTGTACCCCCAGAGCTACCGCCGTTGATGCCGCCGGCGGCGGACCCATCTGGGGAGGTCCTGGTGGAGGCCCATTCTCCGTCCGGACCACCGCCGGTTACCGGGATGGACGCCGCAGGGAGCGGTGGGCCGCCGCTGGAGGCGCCTGTTGCGCCGCCGCCGAAGGAATCACCTACGGCGCCTTGCCCTGGCCACGTACCATCTGGCCCGCCACCTCCATGGGCCGACGCCGAGCACGGGGACGGCCCAGCGGCGGGCACACGCTTGCGGGGCAGGCGCATACGCTGACGGACGGCACAACTGTCCGCGGTCATCCCGCTCGTCACCACTCGCCATGCCGAGTGGCGGCTACGCCCCACTTTGTGTTGCACCAGCTTGCCCTAATGTTCTGTTCTTCTAGCAGCTGGTCGGGGTTCGTGTTTTGGGGTCACGAGCGTCGGTCGTCATCAGGGCCGCTCATAGGGGGGGGGGTTACAGCCGGGTCGGCTGAGTTTTTTTTACGGGGGGGGGTGATGTTGAGGAGTGGAGTGCTGACATCAGGCCACACTCGCCTCGGGGGAATGCCGTCAGGATAAAGTGATGTCATGCCCCCCGGGGTATTTGAGGGGAGACCCGTGACGTGGACGGGGTCTTAGCCGAGAGTCAGAGGAGTGAGTGGGTAGGAAGTAGGGGGCTCCGGGATAGAGAGTGGAGAGCCAGGCTAAGGGGCTACTTTACCCGGCTGGCCGCGTTGGATGAACCCTCGGTCAGTGCTGTGGGAAGAGCCCGATAGCCTGGTGGGGTGTAGGGAACACCCAGTACCCTTCCCCTGGGGAGCTTAGTTAATAACCGTTGTGTTAACCCCTTCCCCCGAGTTAGGCGTAAGCCCTAAATAAACAGTTTGGCGTCAGCCCCAACACAACCGGCTTCAGCGTCCTTTTCTACCACGCAACACACTCACTCAGCCTAATAACCAGGCTACAGTCTGCATTATAGACTTCCAGTACACTCACTCAGCTTAATAACCAGGCTACAGTCTACATTATAGACTGCCAGTACACTCACTCAGCTTAATAACCAGGCTACAGTCTACATTATAGACTGCCAATACACTCACCCAGCTTAATAACCAGGCTACAGTCTACATTATAGACTGCCAGTACAGTCACTCAGCTTAATAACCAGTCTACAGTCTACATTATAGACTGCCAGTACACTGACCCAGCTTAATTCCAGGCTACAGTCGACATTATAGACTCACCAAGCTAAATAACCAAGCTACAGTCAATATTATAGACTGTCAGTACACTCACTCAGCAAAATGACCAGGCCACATGCTACATTATAGACTATCAGTACACTCACTTTACTTAATAACTAGGCTTTATCGACTGCCGGCAAAATCCCATCACCACCTCCACGCGGTGCTGGCTGGTTTCCAACCAACGGTGAGGGTCTTTGGCGTCAGATGGAGCGACCCACCGGCCAAAGTATTTCTGTGTCGCATCTATGGCAACGTCAAATCAACTTTGAACAAGCTAGGGCGCCCCCCGGGGGAAACGCGCGCCGTCCTCGCCCAAACAACGCGAGAAGTAGACGAGGGCTATCTGCTCATGGACGGGGCAGGCTAAAGAAGTTAGTCCGACTACGGCTGGGAAAACTCAACATCGGAACATTAAAAGGAGAAGTCGAGAATTGTCAACTGCCCTAAAGGCTCGTCGTATCGACATCGTATGCATCCAAGAAACGAAGTGGAGTGGAGCAAAGGCCAGGGAGATTGGAGAAGGATACAAACTGTTCTACAACGGTGAAAGAAACACCAAGAACGGCGTTGGAATCGCAGTCAGCCAAAATCTACGAGACAACGTCGTGGCCGTCCACCGTGTTTCCGACCGCCTCATGTCCATCGAAATTGACTCAAACGACCTACGCCTCCGGGTGGTATCTTGTTATGCGCCGCAGCCTGGCTGCCCAGCAGATACCAAGGAGGAAGTTTGGCAACAATTTGATGGACACATGCAATCGATAAACGGAGAAGAGCAGTTAGTAATTGGTGGAGACCTAAATGGACACGTTGGAAACGCCCGGGATGGATACCCTCAAAACCATGGTGGCCAAGGATATGGTACCCGGAACGATGAGGGAAACCGAGCCCTGGACTTTGCGGAAGCCCATGATTTTGTCCTCACCAACACCTTCTTCAAGAAGAGACCGTCCCATCTCATTACGTACGCCAGTGGTGGGAGATCAACTCAAATTGATTACTGGCTTGTCAAGCGAGATAAGCTGAAAACGGTGACAAACAGTAAAGTCATACCATCGGACAACATCGCCCCACAATATTGCATCCTGGTCATGGACATGAAAATGGACATTGGCCAGCGACATCGCCCACCAACTACAGGACAGCAGCGAATTAAGTGGTGGAGGATGAAGGAATGCAAGGATCAGCTGAGAGTCGCCCTCAATCAGATTGACGTGAACACCAACCGACCAGCGAATGCGATTTGGGAAGATCTCGCTGGCCAACTGTGCACAGCAGTGTAATAACAGCCATAGAGGGTTCACGTGGGGATTGGCTTGCCGGTCCTGCTTTGTAGCCAATAAGGGATGAGCCAGGGAGCATGGCCTCGGCGTGATCAAGGCATGTTAGCAGGGGTGATTGGCCTAGCCAATCGGGGCCTCAGCTAATGGGAAGCCGGATCAGAGGCGTGGTCCCGGGATTGACAGGGAACCATCGGGAACGGTCAACGCTGTCTATGGAGGATTGGCTGGGGGGTACCACGTGACGAAGGGATTAAGAGAGAGAGGGAGTTTGCAGTCGAGAGCAGACTTGGGAACGAGAAGAGCAGGAGTCACGCGCGGACGGGGGCTCTGGGTGCCACGTGCGCGGTGGGGACTTGGCGGGAAGTCTGCCCTCTCTCCGTTGTCTGTCAGCAACGGGGAGTGTGTGAAGTGTAACTGTGGAAGTTGAAAATAAAAAGGACTGATTCCGGAAGCCGTCTCAAGAAGGTTTATTACATTGGTGTCAGAAGTTCTTCTGCGACCGTTTGGACGATCGTCAAGATGTCCAAGCACCTCAGAAAAAAGAACCTGCCCGAGCCTCCATCGGAGGAAGAGGCCGAGACGGACGAAGATGAGCTGTTGGGGGCTACAGCCCCATGCCGCCTGCTGATACTGCTCTCCTCGACGCCTCTCAGCGTCGACTGGGAGAAGATGCGACCACCGCAGGAACGAAAGACGGTTGGCGGCTGATGGCGGAGCAGATCGAGTCGTTACGCGCCATTCTGCTGAGTCTGGTGACCGCGGTAGCGTCCTCACCAGCCGTGGGTTGCCAGATTGCGGATCAGCTGGACGCCGCAGGAAGGGGTCCTACAAAAGAATCGGAGTCCGCCATTGCTCCTGCCACGCGGGAAGAAGCCGACGTTTTGGGCGGGGCGGCTGCGCTGGAGCCGTCGGCCGCCATTTTGGGCGCGCCTGCCGCCACGCGGCCGCCGGACGCCATTTTGCCTGCGACGGGTGGAGCGCGGGAACCGCAGTCGGAGACGCCCGCGGCGCACGCTTGCCACCGCGGACATCGCCTTCCACAGATCAAAGAATTTCTCGCCGGGGGCGATTGGAGTGCTTTTACGTGGCGCATCGAGTCAGCCTTTTGATCCGTGCATTGGACGGAGGAGGAGGCGCTGGGAGCGCTACCTACACTGCTTGATGATGTTTCTCTGGGGGTCTTCCGCTCCATCCCGGCGTCCAAGAGGAAGACACTGCGAGATGCGTTCGCAGATATGGCGGAATTTTACGACCCACCGACGTCAGCCACCAGAAAATTTATGTCGCGTCGCCGAGGATCGGAGGAGTCACCTTTGGCTTATCGGGGGGCGTTGATGGCGCTGGCCATGGCTGCCTATTCCGACGCGACGGCCGATCATTTGGATCCTCTCATCCTTTCCCGTATGCTGGAGTTGTCTCAGGAGCTCAACATTTATTTACCAGTGTGCGGCCACGAACCGCTTACATCGCGATGGGTGGCGCGCTGCTTGGACGCTAAGTTTAATATCAAGCGCTGGGACCAGATGGCGGCGTGGACGGGGAAACCCGAAATCGACGGGCCGCCCTTGGGGTGGTCTCCACGACGGGTTGTCCACTGCTCCGACGACTCTGGCGACGACGACATGCTGGCTGCTGCTGTTCAGCACGGGATTCCGGGACGGCGGCTGCGCGACCAGCGTGGGTGACTACGCAGGCCGTCCACGTGCGGAGGCCGGGTCATCCGACCGCCGGCCGACTACGGCCGCGTGTTTCAAGTGCGGCCGTGACTGCCGCTGCCGACCTCTGCTGTCGCCTCTTCCGCCAAGGGGACCTCCATCTCCTCTACCTGCTGCGGAACTGCAACAACCTCGGGCGAGTCGGCACAAATCGGACACCCGGCAGGTCGTGTCACATCATTCATCCACTAGCACTCATTCTTACACGCCCAAGGATAATTTTACTTCTCCTGCACCATTTACACTCTCTGCTACACAGTGGAAGAAATTGGCTCGCAGGGTTGTGGCTGCGACGTCGGGCTCGTCGACGTTACGGGGTACCATCGACGGCGTTGACGTCCGTATTTTGGTGGACACTGGCGCATCTGCCACCATCATTTCAGATGTTATTTTTCATTTGCTGTCCATTCCTACGTCGCGGATACGCAGGGTTAATAATGCGTGTGTAGCCGCAAATGGGGGTAGCATGGGTATCTGTGGTCAGGTAGACGTGAGCATCGCTATCGGAAATATTACCGCCGCAGGACCTGTGTTGATCTCTCGCTCGCTAGCTGTCCCATGCTTGCTTGGTACTGATTTCCTGCGCCGGATGCCGCTGAAAATACGGGTCGACCAGGATTGTTTGGAAATGCCGGGGGGTCGTAGGATGTCGTTCCTGCCTTCCCTGCTGGCCAGTGCGCCTACAGGTAATGCAGTTACTGCCGTAGTTGCTGCTACGGTGGAGGTCCCGTCGGGAGCGCAAATGCTCATTCCGCTGCGTTACCGAAAACCCCTTAAAATTGAAAGGGATGCGAAGGGCGTGCTATTATCCCCATCAAATTCGGTAGCTAAATCTTTTTCCTTGGCGGCGGCACAAACGATCGTGCGACCAGGTCAGGCACCTTTCATACAGGTGTTGAATGGGGGACCTGACCGCGTTGTTGTTCCGGAGGGATCGGTGCTGGCTCACGCCACTACCGATTTCGCCTCTTGTGATGAAACGCCGCGCGCCCGGATGCCCGCTGGTGGGCCTCCACACGATTGTTCACAAGAATGCTGGATCGCAGATTTATGCAGGGAAAATTCTTCTTTGTCGAATGAGCAAAGGAATGCTCTGCGTTCATTATTGCTACAATACGCGGATGTTTTCAGCAGAAATGATTTGGACCTCGGCCGCACGTCGCTTTTGTCGCACCATATTGACACCAGTGCGACACCTCCCATCTGTATGCACCCTCATCGCATGAGCCCAGCGGAAAGGGAACACGTGCGCGGAGCAGTAGATGAATTGCTGGCGGCGGATATTATTTCGCCGTCCAACAGCCCTTGGGGCGCGCCCGTCGTTCTGGTTAAGAAAAAAGATGGTGGTACAAGATTTTGCGTTGATTTCCGCCGGTTGAACAAAATTTCGGTGGCGGGCGCGTACCCTTTACCGAGGATGGATGACTGATTGGATGCTTTATCGGGTGCTAAATTCTTTTCCACCTTTGATCTGTCCTCGGGCTTTTGGCAGCTTCCCCTCGATGACGAGTCAAAAGCCAAAACGGCATTCCGCACGCCGCAAGGTCTCTTTGAATTCAATCGGTTGCCTATGGGCTTGAATGCGGCTCCGGCGACGTTTCAACGGCTCATGGAATTGGTGTTGGCTGGACTACAGTGGGAAACGTGCCTCATATATTTAGACGATATCATTGTTTTCAGCCGCACGTTCGAGGAACACCTCCAACGCCTAGAGACGGTTTTTCAAAGAATGCGGGCGGCTGACCTCAAGTTTAAGCCTAGAAAATGTCACCTTTTGCAACACTCCCTCCGTTACTTGGGTCATATTGTCAGCTCGGACGGCGTGTCCACTGACCCTCTGAAAACCAAATGTGTTCGAGAGTGGCCCACACCCACTTCCGTGGGTGATGTTCGGCGGTTTATTGGATTCGCTTCCTATTATCGCCGCTTCGTTAAGAACTTTGCGACGTTGGTGAAACCATTACACGTTCTAACGGGCAAAAATCAAAGGTTTAAATGGGGAGCGGAGGAAGAAAATTATTTTAGAGCACTTCGGGACCACCTCGCCACGGCGCCTACGCTAGATTACCCAGACTTCTCACAGCCGTTCATCCTTGATACGGATGCTAGTGATATCGGCATTGGGGCCGTTTTGTCGCAACGTAAGGACGGGGTTGAGCGAGTGGTGGCGTACGGCAGCAGGGTTCTGTCCCCTGCGGAAACGCGATATTGCGTGACAAGGCGGGAACTTTTGGCAATTGTGCATTTTGTTCGATTGTACCGGCCGTACCTGTATGGAAGGAAATTCCTCGTTCGCACTGATCATGCGGCTTTGCAATACTCCTTGAAATTGGACCAGCCGTCAGGCCAATTGGCTCGGTGGTTGAAATCGTTACAAGAATTTTCCTTCCCTATTACATATCGTAAGGGGGCCCGTCACGCGAACGCTGACGCGCTCTCAAGGCTGCCACCCGTTCCTCCGTGCACTTGCCTGACGGGCACGCACCGCTGCGCGGCACCGCCCACCTCGCCCTGCCCGGTTATGGGGGCGATAGCGAATGAGGACGACGTGGAGGCGATAGCAAATGAGGACGACCAGAAGGTGTCGGTGGACACCGATGATACCTTACGGCTGCCGCACGCGGTCTGGTTACGTGAGCAGGAGGCTGATGCCTCGCTGTCTCCGCTACGGAAATTGATAGGGAAACAAAAAGCTCAATTGGCGGGATGGAAGTGGCAGATGTTCCGAGGCAAGTCGGGACTGTTAATGTGCACCGACGGGTTGTCTGACCGACCACGCTTGGTCGTGCCAACTTCGCTTCGCTACGACCTGCTTCGCGCTCTGCACGCTGATAAGTTGATGCACCTCGGCGTCCAAAAGACTTTGGCCGCGATGCAAAATGATTTTTTCTGGGCCGGCATGACGGCAGACGTCAATGACTTTGTCTGCTCATGCCATGATTGTGCGAAGAGGAAACCGCCTCGGAACCACTATGTACCGCCGTTACGTTCCATTGAGGTGTCCCGCATCAACGAATTAGTTGCTCTGGATATTCTGGGCCCATTTCCCCCGTCGGCTAGGGGCAATAAATACCTTCTGGTCGGGGTGGAATATTTTTCTCGATGGCCGATGGCCTGGCCTCTACCCGACCAAACGGCTGCGTCCATCACCGACACTTTCTTGAACGGGTATGTCATGGATAAGGAGGGCACCTGAGAGGCTGCTCACAGATCAAGGGTACCACGTGACGAAGAGATTAAGAGAGAGAGGGAGAGAGCAGTCGAGAGCAGACTTGGGAACGAGAAGAGCAGGAGTCACGCGCGGACGGGGGCTCTGGGTGCCACGTGCGCGGTGGGGACTTGGCGGGAAGTCTGCCCTCTCTCCGTTGTCTGTCAGCAACGGGGAGTGTGTGAAGTGTAACTGTGGAAGTTGAAAATAAAAAGGACTGATTCCGGAAGCCGTCTCAAGAAGGTTTATTAAAGCAGCAACGGAAGCACTGGGGCTAAGCCGGGAAAACGCTTCATTGACAAAATATGGTGGTGAAACGAAGAAGTGCAGTTAGCAGTGATAGAGAAGCTAGCTTTCAAGAAGTGGCGCCAAACGCTCGCAGATCTGGATTACCAACACTACAGAAACTGCAAATCGGCCGCGAAGCGAGTAGTAGCAGCGGTGAAATTAGCTCAATACGACCAACTGTATGTCGAACTGGACACCCCAGAAGGTGCCAATAAGATCTATCGACTGGCAGAGGCGCGCCATCGTTCGACTCAGGATATTGGTCAGGTTAAATGCATAAAGGATGAGAATCACAGCACTCTCAGAGACCCGCCCGCCATCCTCCAACGCTGGAGCGACTACTTCTCTGGAATCTGCAACCAGGAATTTCCCCACCCACCGATTATTAGCGCTGAACATGTCCTCGGTCCCGTTTTGCCTATCACCATCATCGAAGTGGAACAAGCTATCAAGAGAATGAAGAATGGGAAAGCGACTGGCCCGGACGATATCCCTGCTGAGGCCTGGAAGATCCTTGGCAGGCAGGGTGCTGCCCTCCTTACCCAACTCTTCAGCACCATCACGAGCACCGGTGAGGTCCCAGAAGCCTGGTCGACCAGCACGACGGTTCCAATTTGGAAGGGTAAAGGGGATGTGGCCGAATGCTCGAATTACAGGCCAATCCGGCTCCTGTGTCATGCGATAAAGATCTTTGCGCGAGTTTTGGACACGAGGATTAGAAACATCATCACCCTATCACCCAACCAATGCGGCTTCGTCAAAGGATGTGGCGCTACGGACGCCATATTCACGGCGAGGCTCCTGCTGGAGAGGCACAGAGAGAAGAACAAAGCTGTGCACGTGTTGTTCCTCGACCTTGAAAAGGCATTTGACAGGGTCCCCCACGACCTCATCTGGCACTCGCTTCGATCCCATGGAGTCCCTGAAACCTACGTGCATTGGAGGCAACTCCTATACAAGAACGTCACCAGTGCAGTCAGGTGCGCAGTGGGCATATCACCGCCATTTCCTATCAGCGTTGGAGTGCACCAAGGATCGGCCCTGTCACCACTCCTGTTTATCCTGTGCTTGGACACGATCACTGCCGACCTGCACACGCCCCTGCCATGGTCAATTCTCTATGCGGATGACGTCCTCCTCTCAGATGAAGAGAGAGGAGATGTGGAAAGACAAACACGCCTGTGGAAGGAACGTTTGGATGAAAACGGGATGAGGTGCAACATCAAAAAGACGGAGTATATGAGTGTGGCTCCCAAACCGACGGCACCATCAGCATTGACGGAGAAGATCTGAAGAAAGTGACGGACTTTAAGTACCTGGGCTCCACCATCGGCTCAGATGGAAGCATCACAACTGATGTGAGGTCACGAGTCAATGCGGCATGGATGAAGTGGAGGCAAGTCACCGGAGTCCTCTGTGATCTGAAAATGCCGGATAGGCTGAAGGGAAAAATTTACAAGACCATCGTCCGACCGGTGGCACTCTATGGATCCGAGTGCTGGCCAGCCACAACTGTACACGAACAAGCCCTCCATACCATGGAGATGAGGATGCTCAGATGGAGCCTTGGACTGACTCGATGGGATCGTGTCATGAACGAAAACGTTCGGAAGCGACTTGGTGTGGCCCCCATTGCGGACAAGATACTTGAGGCAAGGCTTCGGTGGTACGGCCATGTGATGCGTGAAGAGTCATCAGTGGCCAAGACTGCCATGCGTATTGAGCCAGAGGGCCGCCGTCCACGCGGACGTCCGAAGAAGCGATGGATGGATCGAATAAAGGAAGACATGAAGACGGTCAACGCATCCCCCGAAGATGCCCTAGACCAGGGGTCGGGAACCTTTTTGACTGGGAGAGCCATAAAAGCCAAATATTTCTAAATATATTTCATTGAGAGCCATATAGTATTTTAACGTATAATAAATTAAATATGTCTTACTTTTAATGCGACTTCTGGTGCTGCATGGTTTTGCTGATGGCCTTGTAGTCTGGTTCATACGTGGAGAGGTTGAGCTTCATGCAGGCGTTGAGGCTTCCATCACAGTTAAACGTGAGCGTAGGTTGGTCTTAATGTTCCTCATATGCGAGAATGACTGCTCACATGCATATGTAGAGCCAAACATGGTCAATACGGCAATACTCACACGCTGCATTGTGTGGTATTTCACAGGAAGCTTGTTCCAAGTTTTAAGAATCAGCTGGTCTTCAGGTTGAAGATTTTTCATTTCTGTCCACTTGTGTTCCCTCGCCAGCTCTGCTCGCTATCGCGCAAGACTTTCCAACTCTCGATTAAGTGACTTGAACTTACTCATCCACATGTCTGATGCCTTCAGGTCAGCAACTTCCAGCTCAAAGTCTCCGATAGAGACCCCGGGGATGCATGTCAGGTCGTCTTTGTCCACTGCACACTCATGTGGATGAGTGATGAACTTGAAAAGACCAGTGCGCGCACGAAATTCTCCAAAACGTGCTTTGAATGACTTCAGGAGATTGGACATAAAGCCAGCTAGCTGCTGGAGATCCAGATGTTGAGTGGAGTCACTTGCTAGGCATGCATCTCTAAATTGTCGCAGTCTTTCAAAGTGCAGAAGACGACCTGTTTCAATGTCCCTGAGAAAGACTTCCAGCTTGCTTTCAAAAGCAAACACTGCTTGTTGAAGGGATGAGATTGTATTTCCAATACCTTGCATTTTCACATTGAGCTGGTTCAGATGGCCAGTTATGTCCACGAGATAGTGAAACTGCAGGAGCCAGTCAGTCTTGTCTAGTTCAGGATGCTTGACGCCTTTCATTTCAAGAAAAGTCCGGATTTCACTCAGGAAAGCTGCTAAACGGCTGAGCACCTTCCCCCTTGACAACCAACGCACGTTGCTGTGTAAAAGCAGACCGGGATAATGATTCCCAACTTCTTCTAACAGAGCTTTAAACTGGCGATCATTTAAAGCTCGGGCAACAATAAAGTTGACCACTCGAATGACCAGCGACATCACCTCACCAAGCTCCTGGCCACATGTCTGAGCGCAAAGCGCCTCCTGGTGCAGGATGCAATGAAAACTTAGGATGGCTCTCTTTTCATGTTCATGGAGAAGCGCTACAAATCCTTTGTTCTTCCCCAACATACAGGGTGCACCATCAGTACAGACAGAAATACGTTTATCCATCGGTAGTTTTTTTTCTTTAGCAAACTCCATGAAAGACGTGAATACATCCTCTCCTCTTGTTGTCCCTTTCATTGGCAAAACAGCCAAGCTTTCCTCACGCAGTGTGTCACCTGCAGCATACCTGGCAATTATACTGAACTGAGATAGATGGCTAACGTCTGTTGACTCATCTCGTCCCGGCGTTTATGTCCTTAATTTGTGTTTCCTCGACTTGATTTGCCATCATGATGCTACGATCGTGAACAGTTCTTGCTGACAGAGGCATGTCTTTTATTCGTTTATCTTGTCTTTATTTGGGAAGTCATCAAACAGTTCATTGGCCACATCAAGCATGAATGTTTTGGCATACTCGCCATCTCTGAATGGCTTTCCATTCCTTACTATTGCCAAAGCACCCGCAAAGCTAGCGGAATTCCCGTCACCTTGCTTGGTCCACACACGTAGTTGCTGCTGACTCATCTGCACTCTCCGCTGTAGCTCTTCGCATGCCTTTTTCCTGCTGTCCCCCGCTGGATATTTCGATGCAAATGAAGCATGGTGCGTATCGAAGTGCCGCTTTATATTTGACCGTTTCATTGATGCAATTTTATCATTGCATATTAGACAAACCGCAGATCCTGCTCTCTCCACAAATGCAAATTCCTCTGTCCACACAGCCTGGAATGCACGGTAATCATCGTCTTTTTTTCTTTTCGCAATCTTTTCCGTTACAAGGGTTGAAGCGGATAAACTAGTTGGCTATCTGATCAAATGGATTTCTTCACCTTTACAATGACCCGTGACATGCTCGCGAGCCATTGGTTCCCGACCCGACCCACGGGTCACGGGATCCGTGACCCGTGAAATTTATCTTCAAAACTAATTTCTGTTTACTTTAAAATGACACAGTATTATTAAGCAATATCACAAGTATTTAAAAATCAGTTCCAAACTGATTTTTTTTTTCAACTCAAAATTGTCTGGGAGCCATATGCCGTCACCGGAAGAGCCATATATGGCTCGCGAGCCATAGGTTCCCGACCACTGCCCTAGACCGAGCCAAATGGAGAAGACAATGCCGAAAAGCGGACCCTGTGCCACAACGGGAACAACGCTAGGAAGAAGAAGTACACTCACCCAGCCTAATAACCAGGCTATAGTCTACATTATAGACTGTCAGTACACTCATCCAGCTTAATATCCAAGCTACAGTCTGCATTATAGACTGCCAGTACACTCACCCAGCTTAATAACTATTTGTACAGTCTACATTAGACTGCCAGTACACTCACCCAGATAAATTCCAGGCTGCAGTCTACATTATAGACTGTCAGTACACTCATCCAGCTTAATATCCAAGCTACAGTCTATATTATAGACTGCCATTACACTCACCCAGATTAATAACTAGTTGTACAGTCTACATTATAGACTGTCAGTACACTCACTCAGCCTAATAACCAGGCTACAGTCTGCATTATAGACTTCCAGTACACTCACTCAGCTTAATAACCAGGCTACAGTCTACATTATAGACTGCCAGTACACTCACTCAGCTTAATAACCAGGCTACAGTCTATATTATAGACTGCCAGTACACTGACCCAGCTTAATTCCAGGCTACAGTCGACATTATAGACTCACCAAGCTTAATAACCAAGCTACAGTCGATATTCTAGACTGTCTCTACACTCACTCAGCAAAATGACCAGGCCACAGTCTGCATTATCGACTGCCAGTACACTCACCCAGCTTAATAACTATTTGTGCAGTCTACATTTAAAGAATATAAACTTGGCGCACTTGGGTTGCATTTTAATTAATGAGTTTTCTTTTCATTTGTATATGTTATGTTTTCAAGTTTTCAGAAGTTGTTTTTATATATTTTTCCCCCGGGCAACGCCGGGTATTTCCCGTTAGTAGCAGTATATATCGACCTTCATCTTGGTTCTTTCGGTAAAGTCACGTAGAAGGGAAATAATAAAATAATAAAAATAAAACAATCAAATAAAATTCTCACGCCGTTTCGGCCACAACACAAGCAGCCGTCCTCAGGTGAAGACAGAGCTGTCTGAAAGACAGCGCTCCAATGAACACTGCTAAGCTTGGCAGCGTATTTTAAGCTGGGTGGGAGGAGAAGAGCACCTTGACAAAGGAGTTTACATATCAACAGAATAATTTAGCACTGAATAAGCTGTGTTAATGTGAGAGAATTAGCAGGATGTTAAAGTCAGAAATTAGAATGTAACTGGGAGATTAGCATGATGTTAATGTGAGGAATTAGCATGCAACTGGTCACGGAAGTGGCTATGTTAAAGTCCGAGTTTACATATCAACAGAGGCATTTAATATATTGACGCTAAAGAACTGCACCCACCCACTATCATACAATAAACCGATGTGAAAGAACTAAATATAAACTACATCAATATAATCAATGTACTCAATATATTCTCCAATTAGCTGAGCTATTAACATTAAGTAACTGGGTATACAATACACTATATAATGACTATGATATAGTGAACTGATAAAAAACTAAAATATAAACTACATCAATATGATAATTGGTTTTTTACCCTTTTATCTGGCAACAAAACTGACACCTTTTTTACAAAAAGTCATGTTTGCATAGACCACAATACCTGCAGTCATAATGCAAACAAAAAACATAACTCTGATAATGTATGCACTGTCCTTGAAGTTGATTGGTCCACACCCGAGACAGCTCTCCTTAGAGCCTAGTCTCACATGGTGGACCAGATGATGCCAAAAGGCGCACAACTCAAACACAATGCACCATCAGAGTATGAGAGCTCAGGGTAAGCATTTACACCATTGGAACCTCATTTGCCAGTAGAAAAAATATGATAATTGGTTTTTTACCCTTTTATCTGGCAACAAAAAAAACAATTATTATATTTTTTCTTCTGGCAAATGAGGTTCCAATGGTGTAAATGCTTACCCCGAGCTCTCATACTCTGATGGTGCATTGTCTTTGAGTTGTGCGCCTTTTGGCGTCATCTGGTCCAACACCATGTGAGACTAGGCTCTAAGGAAAGCTGTCTCGGGTGTGGACCAATCAACTTCAAGGACAGTGCATACATTATCAGAGTTATGTTTTTTGTTTGCATTATGACTGCAGGAATTGTGGTCTATGCAAACATGACACCTTGTAAAAAAGGTGTCCGTTTTGTTGCCAGATAAAAGGGTAAAAAAACAATTATCATATTTTTTCTTCTGGTAAATGAGGTTCCAATGGTGTACATCAATATACTCAATATAATCTCCAATAAGCTGAGCTTCTAACAATAAGCCATTATACATTACACTTCAATGTCGCAAAAATTATTATAATATGCCTCCATCTAATCTTTTTTTCTTACATCACACGACTATACCCCGTACTATAAACTGCCATAGACAGACCCCAACATTTAATTATACACTGCGTTACTATAAACTATAATAATATTAGACTTGTAATATTACACTATGTATTATTCTACCAACCCTACTGTATACCACACTGCTGTATATTCACTATGCAATTACGATACTATATATTACCCCATGAATAATATTAAACATTACACTGTTATACTATTTATTATTATACAATCTGCTATAAACCATACCATTGACCGTCGCGTGAAAGGTACTAAGAGGCAATGCCAGCGAATGGACTGCAGTCTGAAAGTCACCGTAAAACAAAATCAATCAAGACCCGAAATGGTTTATCACGTCCTTCCAATGATTGCTGTACAAAAAAAAAAACACCGAAAAACTCTGCTAATGCAAGCCATTCTTCAAATCGCATTCACCACGACCTCTCTGCAGCCTTTGCCACTCTTGGTCATTCCACTGTCCTTTCCACCCTCTCTGCTCTCAGCACCTCCTGTGCCCTTTGCTTGAAACCTTGGGGTCACCTTTGATCCTTCTCCCTCCTTCAAAACATATCTTCACCGTAACCCATGTGCCGCTTTCATCTCAACATCCGTAAAAGTCGCCCCCTCATCTCAATTTCCGCTGCTAAAATACTCATCGATTACCTCTTTCTCATCTCGACTACTATAATTTCACTTATTCTTGGTCTTCTTGCCTACGCATTTGCTCCCCTCCAGCAAATAAAAATAGATTCGTCCCGAATTATTTTGTATCTTCCACATCACACCCATTCCTCTGCTCTCCTTGTCAAACTCCATTGGCTTCCCGTCTACTAGCTGATGCTTATTCAAATTGCTCACCATAGTTTACAAATCGCTCCATGGTTCTGTCCAACCCTATTTTGCTTCTCTTACTTGTTATGTCCCACATAGGCCCCTGAATTCACAATCTCTATTATCCCTTGGTCAGTCACGTTTCCACTCCTTTTCTCTCCTTGCTCCCCTCCATTGGAATAAACTCCCACTCCACATCAAACAGGCAACTTCACTAATCATTTTTTTATTCGTCCCGAAGACTCTTCTTTTTTCAATAGCGTATCACTCTACTACTTCCAGTCCTCATCCTTAAAACCTTAACCCTCCTCTCCCCCTTCCTAACCCCGCCCTCCATTTCCCCGTCACCCTTCCTTGCCATCCCTACGCCTCCAACACTTAAATCCCATCCCTTTTCCCCATCACCCAATGCTAACGCGCAATTTATAATTCGACAAAAGCGCTATATGAAATCCTAGATAAGACATGTATTTGGCTTTCGATTTAAAGCTTTCGTGACTGCAGGGATTCATCGTTTTGGTTCTTTCGATAAAGTCACGTAGAATGGAACTAATAAAATAATAAAAATAAAAATAATAAAATAAACAGGTCTGTCTCGACAGATCTGTTCTCCACCTGAGGACGGCTGCTTGCGTTGTGGCCGAAACGTCGTGAGAATTATTTTATTATGTTTTATTTTTATTATTTTATTATTTCCATTCTACGTGACTTTACCGAAAGAACCAAGAAGATGTATTTGGCTGTTATACATTTCCACATAACCCACTTTATTGAGCTATCATTTGTGGCCAGGTCACATCTGAAAAAAAGCCATGTACCTTAGTGGACCTTGGCAAACAAAATCCACACTGCAACAGGGGCTTCAAAACAAACACTAGCTTTGGCACAGACTAAAAGGGCCCATCCTTTCAGGCTGCCCTGTGTGCGCGTGCATCCACACACATTCATGCAAAACAACAAAAGCCATTTCTAGCAGTTGGTGCAGAACTTGAACAATCTCCACGCGAGTGCCATCTCTCCGCCTTCGCTGACAGGCAGAATTGCAAATGGGTGTGTTTGTTTGCATGTGATGAGTGTCACCAACGGTACCGAACTTCTCCCCTTTCACTCCACCACGGTCTTGCTCTGCTCCACTTCCTGCATCGCGGTTGCTGCTCTGGTTGCCAACCACCGCTCCCATCGACAGACCGCTGGATGGATTCTGGAGATTACTTTTCTGAAACGAAGAGGAATCCTGACTGGAGAACCACAACTTTCACATTTGAATGTACATTAAAATATATATATTAAATGCTCAGCGTGTCGTCTGCTCCATGTAGGTGCTGTGTACGTATAATGCACAAGCAACTTGGAGGGGTGACCAACAGCCCTTGCCAGATGTTGTCGGCATGAGCTGAGAGGTGAAGGCATGATATGGCATTGTATTTTCTCCTCAAAATGCATAGTGAGTGTTCTCCAAATTGTATAGTTTCCTGCCACCTAATACTAAAACATGGCAATGGCCAAACAGCGATATATGATATAATTATGAGACTAGAGTGCCTTTTCTGGGAAAATAATTGGACATGTATTACTCTATTGAAACGTCACCCTATTTTCAAGGAATTATCCCATAAATTTCCACAATCTTATTTTATGTTTCCACACTTACTAATAAGAGCCATTGCGAATGAAGCTCGATTAAAAGGCTATGCTACAGTATATTGTTTAAATCAGCAATGTTAATCAAAATGTGTATCACCGCCTCATTTGAATAAAGAGGTCACTTGATCAGATCTCATAATTAGTTCTGCTCTCTCCTTACTGTGAGAGTTCCTCATGGATGCTTCATCTCACAAGATGCCATCCTGAGCACAATTGTAATAAAATTGGGAAAGGGACAAAGTCATGACACCAAAGTGGCACATTAACGGTCTCCGACTGTCCCAACGCTGTGAATCGTAAACGAAGATGATACAGTGGAACTCCGGAGATCGGACTTAATTAGTTCCAGAAGGCCATTCGAACACTGAATTAATTTTCCCCATAAGAATTAATGTAAATTACATTAATTAGTCCAGACACAATGAATTTTCTCTCATTATAAAGAATTTTTACACGAAGTTTACAGTAATTACATGCATAAAATCATACAAAAACAAGAAACACAATAAATAAATGAAATAAATGAACATTGAACTTCACTTTACCTGCAGTAAGGAGAGTTGATGGCTTGAGTGGAAGGTGGTGAGGAGGAGGTGGTGGTAAAACCTTTGTCTGGGCAAGCGTCATGCACGCTGGCCATACGCGTCTCAGCCGTACAGGTTCTTTCAAGTTGCGATTGCCAGTTCGACCTCCGAATTTCGTTTGGCTTCCTGGGTAAAAAATGTTCGGAAATATCGTTCGAACACCGATTTGTTCGAGTTCTGGTGCGTTCGATCTCCGAGGTTCTACTGCATCATGAAAATCAGCTCGTATCCGAGATTAGAAAGGTAATTCATAGGATCATGAGAGTTGGTGACGGATTAGGGAAGCCTTCAACCAGCAATGGTTGATGAATAAATTATAATTTATTGCTATTTCTCAATCCACTGCCGAAATAACTCTTCCTCACACCGTTAGTCAAGCAACTCATGTGAGATGGCAACGTTTTGTGGAGGCGTTCATTGAAGTGGATTAATCGTGACCTAGGTAAAAACGCTGAAAACTGAGGAATGCCCGTGCGATGTGAAGGTGTTACACCAAGCCACGAGCGAGTCACTGTGTACCTTCTGATGATGGTTCGTACAAAGTTGAGGTTTTTCTTGAACCTGCTCTTGGCGCTCTTTCCGGCCCTTGCGCATAGTCGCCGCCGAATTCGCCACGTCTCCTTTTCCATAGCTCGTCAACCGTCACTGCACCCCAGACAAAGCACGAAACCACCGCGGTGGCAACAGAAGGTGTCTTGCAATCGGAAACCTGGTCTCCCGCAGTCAGAAACCCAATCTCTTGCAACAAGGTACTTAGTTTTTTTCGATTTAAAGCTTTCGTGACTGCAGGGATTCATCTTCTTGGTTCTTTCGGTAAAGCAACGTAGAAGGGAAATAATAAAATAATAATAAAAATATTAAACATTATTTTATTATTTCCCTTCTACGTGACTTTACCAAAAGAACCAAGAAGAAGTTACTTCGTATCCTGCAGCCAAATGTATTTTTTTGCGGGGGTGCTGCATAGCTGTACGATGCGAGTTTGTGTTGCAACGAGTGTTGTTGGGTTTGTCAGTAAATGTTCCGAGTAACACAAACATGGTACAACTAAACAAAAAACAAAGCTTGGGTACTCTGCATTCAGAAACCCAATCTCGCAGAGAGAGAAACCCAGTTGCTTTATGCCAAAAAACAATTCTGCTGTCACAAGAAAGCCTCATTTAACAAGAAACCTGGTCACCTACAACCAGAATCTGTCTCCTGCAACCAAAAACCCCAACTTTACTTAAGAGCCATCTTCTCTTATTACATTTCGGATTGTACTATACAATTCTAACTTGCGAGACTTGTGACAAATCGCAAGATTGTTTGGAAATCTGCCCCCTGGTCTCCTGCAACTAGAAAATGCATTTCCTTTTCTTTGGAAACCCCTGCAATCATAAACAAAGAAATTTACTTTAACAATTAGTTTATTCTTAGGAAAGTACTACACTCGGCCCCAACCACTCCCCCCTCTCTCTATTTAAGGCCTCGACACAAGTGGCACTGTCTGTCTGTTTGTCATTCTTTGGAAGAACGTAATCAACCAGGTGGGCTGTTGACTGTTGTGTTAGCCGACTCCGTGTTGTATTGCATTATATTTCTAAGTTTACCAAGTTAGTTTTTTCTCATTCATTCTTACCCGATGATGGTTGCTTGTGTTGCAATCGAAACGTCGTATTCTATTATTATTTGATTTGATTTTCTACGTGACTTTACCGAAAGAACCAAAGAGTAATTCCTACAGTCACGAAAGCTTCTAATCTAGTTTGATAGTACTACAATTGTAGGTGGTCGATAACTGTGGCCCCGGCCTCCTTCAAACAGAAACGCGGCTGATCACAACTGAATAAGTAGTCTCCTGCTGCTGCTGGAAGTCTTCCTCACCTTGGTTGAAAAAGCTGCAGTGTCACCGTAGCCGTGTCACGATGGGGGGCAGCTACTGCACCGAGTCAGGGCCCCGCCACCACCGCGCTTCCCCGCTCCCAGGGTTCGTTCGTTTCTCAAGCTGCTCATCCTGGAGAGTGTAACGGCAGCAGCATGTTGAGTCGGGCGGTCTCTACCTCCCCTTTTCCTGGCGACAGACTCTGCTCTTGTTGGGGAATTCCCAGGCCAGCCGAGCGACAGTCCCACCAGCGTGTGCTGGGCCGGCCCCGGGGTATTCGCACCCAGGGTCACGGCGGATAAGAACGACCTGGGAGATCGCCGATCCACACAATTAAATGTTCATTAAATCCAATTCACTGTTAATGAAGATCAATTCAAATGCTCCATTTTACAAAAAAGAATAGCCATCTTCGTAGCAGTGTCGTTGACATGGGCCCTGGTGCAAGGAATATGATGGGAATCCCATGCCAGGTGGCACCTCGATTTCTTAGCCAGCGCCTTGGCCCTTATGGGCCCACGGGGCCCTGGTGTAGTTACACCGCCCACATTCGCCAAGAGTTACACCACTAACATGATTGACGGTGGCAGTCTCAGGGACAAGGGTGACCTTTTTCATTAAACTCGCATTTAAAATATAACGTGCGACATTCCCAGTAATGGCCCTTCTTCATAGTACACACGCACACACAATTGAGAGGGCAGAGAGATACAATGGACAAAGAGTTGAAGACTGCACTTTAAAGCATGGGAAATGGTGAGCATTATATACTTTGATGACCAGTTATTATAAATGGCATATGAATAGTTACCCACGAGCAGCTATTGAGCTACAAACCCTTCAATTAAGTAAAAGTATTACACTTCTCCCTTGAAATGAAAGGGTCTGGCAGAAAGCTAGATTAGGTTAAAATCTTCGGAGTTCAAATCGTGGTTGGGGGCCAACTCAGACATGATCATCCATGAAAATTCATCACCACTACCATCATCCAGAATCAGAATATTCATTTATCCTGGAGAAATCTGACAGTAGTTTCAAAAGATATCCACCACTACCGTTAAGAGCTACCCAACAGCATACCATCATACCAACAGTATAACCAATTTACTACTATAATGAGCCAATAATGGCTATATTCCACGCGTGACGTCACTGAACGTCGGCCGGCCCCACACCATTAAAAATCATGAACAGGTGACGTTTTCCAAATGAACACCCTCCCCCCCTTAATATGAATTAGCGGGTGACATCACTCCACATGGGGGGGCGAGGCGCCTCCTCCCCCCTCCTCAGCGTCAACTTACAACCCTCACTACAAAGGCAGAACCCTCACGTCACGCGATATCCGTAACGCTGTCGAGACATCGAAGTAAAAAGGACGTCATGATGAACAAGGGATTATAACCTTTACGTGAAATAAGTCTGTCACCACGGCCTGACAAATTGCACACAAATGGATGCAATGAATATCATGTCACGGTCTGCTTTTCGCTTGCAAGTTTCAAATATACTGAAACTAGCTTTACTATTAGTGACTAGCTTTAACTACCCAGCTTCGCCCGGGACTTGGATTCTTGTCTTGGATTAACACACGGCCTATGCGGTGGGTGGGGGGGAGATGCGTGACGTCAGCAAGGCACACTGCGTGATGCTGCCGCATGCGGGTGACATCACAGATGTGACGTCACCGCTCACTTGCCGTGCAAAATATATCCATTATTGCACCCCCGCCCCTCCCCCAAAAATACAAGTCTATTTTTATACTTTTTGCATTGTGTACAGTCTGGAAGCCAAATTTAAAGTTTGTTGCATGTTGGGAAGTATGCTAAACATTTCGAACAGACACATTCACAAATTTCCCTTTTATATATATATAGATACACCCATCCTTGGACGGGCAAAAGGCGAGTGCCATGATGTTTGTCATCCACCATCTTCATTGCAACAGCCATCACCACCATCATTCATCACTCAAGGGTGTATAAAACAAGTATATTATTACTGTGCCATGAATCTGGTGAGTTATATTAAAATATAGACTCAACCCTCTTCCTCAAACCACACTGACCAGCGTGGCGAAGTATGGTCAAACAAAACCCAATGATTGACATGGGAGGCTTCATTCAGCAAGATTGATAAAACGAATATTAGGCTCGCTCCGTGGGAAGTCAACTCGGAGTTTCCAACGGTGTGACAGTCTCCTGCCATTAGGAACGTGGAATTTCCACCACTGGCTCAGGACAAGCAGAGCTCATCTGATTGGCACTCGACACATACGTCCCTGCAAAACCAAGGTACAAGTGGATCTTCAATCAATCTAGATTTGAAGTTTTCGGACTGTGCCATGAATCTGGTGAGTTATATTAAAATATAGACTCAACCCTCTTCCTCAAACCACACTGACCAGCGTGGCGAAGTATGGTCAAACAAAACCCAATGATTGACATGGGAGGCTTCATTCAGCAAGATTGATAAAACGAATATTAGGCTCGCTCCGTGGGAAGTCAACTCGGAGTTTCCAACGGTGTGACAGTCTCCTGCCATTAGGAACGTGGAATTTCCACCACTGGCTCAGGACAAGCAGAGCTCATCTGATTGGCACTCGACACATACGTCCCTGCAAAACCAAGGTACAAGTGGATCTTCAATCAATCTAGATTTGAAGTTTTCGGACTGCAGGGATCCATACTCCTTGGTTCTTTCGGTAAAGTCACGTAGGTATAAAATATAAAATAAATTAAATCACGATGTTTCGGGCGCAACACAAGCGTCGTCATCAGGTGGGATAACCACGGCAAAAAATAATTGCTGAAGTGGGCAAAAGGGCTGTTGTAACAACAGCACCCCCCTCCCGCTACCCCTCCTCTATCTCTCCCCCCTTGCTCCTCCCCCCTATCTTACCTATATAGCCTCTTGTTACAGCAGACGGCCAGGTGAGATGCTGCCATCACCACCCTCATGTGCCATTTAGGACTTAATATGCAATAGCTTGGTCGCAAATCCATCTTTCACCGTCCCCATAAACTGGAACTCCTCCCTATTTGTAGTGTAGACTCTCTGCCTTGATTCAGGTCTCAGGTCAAGAACAAACTCCTCATTCTGCATTTGAGGGTCTATCTGCAAAGGGTATTATTGTATGAAAAACACACTTTAGACATATCCATCAAGGTTCTCCTTGAGGCACATAAGTCCTGTTTTTGTGCATCATCTTGAAATGCAGTTCCATTTAGACACTCAATAAATAACTAGTTCTACAACATTTTTTAGTATCTAATCGTCAGTATAGTGCACTTTAGTTGTGCAGCCAGAGCGTAATTTTAGATGGGTCGGTGACCCATTAAATATTATAATTTTGCACCCAGTATACAATGTCCATTATATTTTTCGTTAATGCTGTGGCTACCAGTCAACCTTTTAGAGCACAGTTTCCCCGATTGGCAGCCGTCTCGGTGTGGTATCTGGCGACACAACACCTGGCTTGGCAATTGGCATTTTTTATTTCCTGTTGCCCGGCTCTCTGACATTAACATGCTAATCTTCTCATTGGCACGCCTCTGGTGGCTGGGCCATCTCACATTGACATGCTAATCTCTCACATTTACAGCTTCAAATCAAGATTTACGTACAAATTCCTTCTCTAGCTCCACCAAAAATCCTATATAAACTCTTGTTGCAGCAGCCCTTTCTCCTACGTCAGCAGTCCTCCTGTTGTGTTTGTTTCACACCTGATAACGGTTGCTTGTGTTGCAATCGAAACGTCATCTATAATTTTTTTCTACCTCGTGACTTTACCGAAAGAACCAAAGAGAATGGGCATTAGTTCACCAGCTAAGGGGCGATGAGTGCCATGCGAGTAATCTGGGTAATTTTCTAAATTTTTACCGAAATTGACATTGTACGATATTTCTTTGAGATATGGGATTAAACCAGAAAACCAGGAGGGGGTAACCCATGCAAGACAGGCAGAAAACATACCAACTCCACAAAGGTCAGGAATCAAACCCAGTCGCGTCTTCCCGCAAGGCACAAGTGTTACCACGGTACCACACTGCCACGTGAATCATGAGCCTAGTCCGGTCGATTAGTGACCAAGAATGTTCATAAAAAATATTTTAAGGCCGAGCGCAGCATTGAAACAGCCAAGTGTTGGCGATGCACAGATTTGTCGCTCACCGCTCTGTTGTTGTCCTTGTGTCGCGTTTCTTTTGCTGCGCACCCGGCTTTGCGTTTCCACATGACGTCCACTTTTAAGTTGAATTGGCATCAGCTGTTAAATGCGACATTTGCACCGACAAAGCATAGCATGCATTACACGTTTAACATTTTATAGTTCCAAGTATGTACGTATAGATTAAACACTTTCACAGCCGGTGTTATCTATTGCTTGGGACTTGGTGGTTTCCTGATGTGGTCAGTCCCAAAATTTAATGTGATCAAATGTAAGTTTTGTTTGACGTCCGCTCCCATAAAGTGGACAAATTTGGAGCAAAAATATTGAAAAAACTATGGGCGATGCCAAGTTCAGATTATTTTTAGCGAAAATCAAACTCCGTTTGCAGAATTCATAAACGTAGGTGGCTACGAGGTTATTTCAAGTAGATATAAATCATAGATTACGTGGCAGCTTCGAGGGAGTGGTTGCCAGATTTTAAAAAAACGCCGAATAGTCACCAATCAGTTAAAATATATTATTTTCGCATATCCATGTTTTTAGGTGTGGTGTGTTTTTTCATGTTTTAAAAATGTTTAACTCATTGCCGGATTACCCTAGTAGCAAAAGTAGCTACATATGCTACGGGCCCCGCACTTTCAAGGGCCACGCACTAAATGATTTCAAGCTATCAATTCCGATTCAGTGATGCTGCACTTGCTTGATTACTATGGTACGATACCGCCTTCAACTTTTGGGTGTTTAAGGTTAGCGATTTGTCGTATTATCTGGCCGTATACCAAATAAAAAAATACAATTACTTTACTTTGCAAGTAAAAAAACGTCTGTTTTAATGTTTTTTGTGTTATTCAGGGCCCCTTTATAACGTATAACTACAGGCCCCGCACTAGCTTAATCCGGCACTGGTTAAACTGTGATACCATTTTCTGTTCTTACCACTGTAGTTATTAGTTACGATTTTTTAAAAAATGTATACAAGTGCAGAATTTGTCCATTGTTTAAGGTTGTTGTAAGTAGTGTATGATGTACCGAATATATGACACTCAAATAAAGCGTAGCTACTTTTTTGTGTGTGTCACGCACGTGGTGCCGATCGCCGGACTGGTTATACAGCCTTTGGAACGGTTTTTTTCCCCGATCGCCCCATAATTAATGATCGATTATTAATGATTGATTATTAATTATCGATCAACCTGTGCAGGGAACACAATGCAAAAACCGCCATGCAGTTTCCCTACGCAAAATACGCGTTTGCATTACGAGAACAGCAACGGGTGCTTACGCAAACCCGACCTCCCACACGCACAGAGACCCATAGACCCATAGAGATAGAAACCCACAGAGATACAGACCCATCGAGATACACAGAGACCCACAGAGATACACAGAGACCCATAGAGATACACAGAGACCCATAGAGATACACAGGGACCCACAGAGATACACAGAGACCCATAGAGATAGAAACCCACAGAGATACAGACCCATCGAGATACACAGAGACCCACAGAGATACACAGAGACCCATAGAGATACACAGGGACCCATAGAGATACACAGAGACCCATAGAGATACACAGGGACCCAGAGATACAGAGACCACAGAGATATATCAATCAAGACACAAAGACTGATAGAGATACACAGAGACCTATAGAGACACATAGATACCCATATACATGCAATGACACCCACAGAGATAGAGACACAGAGGTACATAGAGACCAATAAATACACAAAGACTGACAGAGATACACAGATACCCACAGAGATACACAGATACACACAGATACTGTACGTAGACACACAGAGATACACACACAGACACGCAACAACCGCCAAAGACTTATAGAGATACACAGTGACCCACAGAGACACACATAGACACACAGATACTGTACCTAGACACACATAGACACACAGATACTGTACCTAGACACACAGAGACACAGAGACCCACAGATACTGTACGTAGACACACAGAGATACAGAGACACACAGACACGCAACAACAACCGCCATTCGCCACTAAGTGGCGGTGACGTCACCACGACGCTTGTGCCAGGCCATGTGCACCTTGAGGCCCACGTGAAGTCTCGAAACGGACACACACAGACACAGAGAGACACACAGACACACAACACGCCACAGGTGAACACCCGACAGCAGCAACAAGGTGGTTTCACCTAATCACCTGGCAGCAGCAACAACAACAACGTGAAATTTCGATTTAAAGCTTGCGTTGTGGCCGAAACGTCGTGAGAATTATTTTATTTACGTTTGATTTTTATTAATTTATTACTTCCCTTCTACGTGATGACTTTACCGAAAGAACCAAGAAGAAGAATAACAACAAGAAGGTGGTTTCACCTGGCACAGCAGCATCATCATCATCATCGTAACACCGCGAACAGCACCACACGGGCAGCCGAGACGCGATCTGCTCCAGGCTGGAGCCGAATCGAATGGAGGAGGAGGAGGGGAGGGAGCCACCAAGAGAGACCAGCTCCAGGCTGGAGCCGAATCGAATGGAGGAGGAGGAGGAGGGAGTCACCAAGAGAGGCCAGCTCCAGGCTGGAGCCGAATCGAATGGAGGAGGGGAGGGAGCCACCAAGAGAGGCCAGCTCCAGGCTGGAGCCGAATCGAATGGAGGAGGGGAGGGAGTCACCAAGAGAGACCAGCTCCAGGCTGGAGCCGAATCGAATGGAGGAGGAGGAGGGAGTCACCAAGAGAGACCAGCTCCAGGCTGGAGCCGAATCGAATGGAGGAGGAGGAGGGAGTCACCAAGAGAGGCCAGCTCCAGGCTGGAGCCGAATCGAATGGAGGAGGAGGAGGAGGGAGCCACCAAGAGAGACCAGCTCCAGGCTGGAGCCGAATCGAATGGAGGAGGAGGGAGTCACCAAGAGAGACCAGCTCCAGGCTGGAGCCGAATCGAATGGAGGAGGAGGAGGGAGCCACCAAGAGAGGCCAGCTCCAGGCTGGAGCCGAATCGAATGGAGGAGGAGGAGGAAGCCACCAAGAGAGGCCAGCTCCAGGCTCCTTCTTGCCCGACACGAATCCCTCCCGAGGTCCCAGGGCAGAGAACTCCTCTTGGTTTTCCGACCCGAAGCGTCGCTGCACGTCTCGATGTGAAGTCCCCTTGGTGCCGGGGTGTTTATTATAAACTAGAGGATGTTTAAGTCTGTGCCCATCAGCTCGGAGATCTTCCACTGATCACTGTCGTCTGCTGGTCACTCTCCATTTTAAGCTTTCGTGATTGCAGGGATCCATGCGATTTGGTTCTTTAGGTAAAGTCCACGTAGGTTGAGAAATGAAATCAGGCCCGTGATTTGTTTGATTTTCTAACTACGTGACTTTAACGAAAGTCCTGCTGATCACATTCTTCTGATGGTGATGGTCGTTGTTGTTGTTACAAATTATTGTGGTGGTCGTTGTTGTTGTTACAAATCCTTCTGATGGTGGTGATGATGATGGTCGTTATTGTTACAAATTCTTCTGATGGCGGTTGTTGTTGTTACAAATTCTTCTGATGGTGGTTGTTGTTACAAATCCTTCTGATGGTGGTGGTCGTTGTTGTTGTTACAAATTCTGCTTATGGTGGTTGTTGTTACAAATTATGTTGATGGTGGTGATGGTGGTTGTTGATTCTGATGGGTGGTTGTTGTTACAAATTCTTCTGATGGTGGTGGCTGTTACAAATTATTCTGATAATGGTGGTCGTTGTTGTTACAAAATTTTCTTCTGCTGGTGATGGTTGTAAATTCTTCTTCTTCTGATGGTGGTTGTTGTTGTTCAAATTATCCGACTTTATAGAGGGGGGGTAGCCCCAACCACCTCCACCACCACGAGGCTCTCGTCGTCTTTGCTCTGGCCCAGCTCTCGTTCCCAAACTCGAATTTCTGCTCGTGGCGCCCCAGCGGAATGGACTCCAGTGCCCACATCCGACGCGTTTCACCGCCGCACTGGATACCGAAGGCAAAGCAACCCGCGTAGCCTGCACGAGACTTGGGGGCAAGTGCCGCGAGCGAGTCGGCAGCCTGCGTGGGTGGGTGGGTGGCCAGCACCACGCCCGGCCGCCTTTGTGTCTCCTCGGTGTCGATGTGTGCCCACCAACTAATACACATCCGCAAGGACTGGTCCCCCCCAATTGTGTTTCATTCAATCTGAACAAGGCCGTAATCTTCATCTTTTCTTTATTATATATAAAAAGGGAAATGTGTGATTATGTGTGTCTGTTCAAAATGTTTAGCGTACTTCCCGACATGCAACAAACTTGAAATTTGCCATGTGGGTACTTTCCAGATTGTACACCATACAAAATTATATTTAAAAAATATTTTTTTTTCAAATATGCTCAAAATTGCTATAAAATAGATTTATGTTTATATGATTGTGGTTATGGTTGTACTTTATGAATCCCTAATATCTGCCATTACATACAATAAAACAAGAAAAGGAAAAAAAAAGAATATTTTAAACTACTTTTAAAAAACACGCTTTCATGAAATGTACCGTACTCGTAATGGCAGAACTCCACGACTCCAGGAAGTGGCCCCGAAGCTTGCCACAACGTAAGGGGCCGTGGTGATTTACAGCCAACGTTAGTTGAGCGTCGACAATTAGATCCAAGCCGAAAAATAACATAAAAAAAATTGTTTAAAATTATATTTTAATTTTTTTTATTTTAATGATAGAATATAGTATTGTCATCAGTATGACATAAGTATACCAAGTTTGCAGTCGATAGCACATTGGGAAGTGGGTTAAAATTGAGTTACAAGATTTGAGGATGCGACAACAACAATCATTAAAGCGTGTAATAAAAAAAAACAGCAATGTAATACATATTCTTGGTTCTTTCGGTAAAGTCACGTAGAAGGGAAATAATATTGTTTAATATTTGTATTATTTTATTATTTCCCTTCAACGTGACTTTACCGAAAGAATCAAAAAAATGAATCCCTGCAGTCACGAAAGCTTGAAATAAAAATTCAATGTAATACAAGACACAATTAGACATTATTGTAAAAATATAAATACAAAGTCCATCTTATGTGTTAGTGAATTTTTTTATATTTTATGCAGGAAATGGCAGGAAATTCATTTTCAAATTTAGATTTTTTTGGGGGG